CCGAGGGTTCGGATCCCACATACAGACCGGTTCCTGCTCACTGGCTGAGCGAGGCGCAGGAGCAACGCCAAGGGTTGCGATCCCGTTGCCGGTCCCCGGTCCGGTACGGGGGCAACACTGAGGGTTGCGATCCGTTGCCGGACACGGAAAAAAGACAAAAAAAAAAAAATATGTGCAGAGTTTGGCATGGTGCCCAGCACAGTCAGAGCTATATGAGGATTTGCTACTATTGTTATCTCTGTAAAATGGTGATAACGATAAGTCCCTCCCCCGTGCCTTGCCCCCAGTTACCGATGAGGATTAATGGAAAAAAGAGTCATGAAGGGTTAAATACAACAGGGCACATGAGAAGACTTAGACAGCCCCTCCCACCTGTGCTTGCTCAGAGGACAGGAACAAGAGGCCCAGCTGCTCAGATCCCACCTTGGCCTCTCTGAGAAGCTGCCTGTTCCCATTCATTCATTCGGCATTCCCTGGACTCACCATGCCCAGCCCTGTGCCGGCTATACCAACGGCAGCCTTGTGGAGCTCACTGGGTGGTGGGAGAGAATGACGTGCACATGAGCACACAACCAGTGTGAGAAGGGGCTCACACAGAGGCTCACAGTGCCGTGAGAAATCTGGGAAGCCTTTCCAGAGCAGGCAGCATCTGAGCTGAGATCTGAGGGCTGAGAAGGAACTCACCAGGGAGACAAAGTAGGGGAGGCACAGAGATGCTAGGGTGACTCAGGCAGGAGGCACAGCATGTAAACAGCATGGAGGAGAGAACACAGGTGGTACACTAATGCTGGGGAAAGCAGTTGGTAGGCTGCTGCAGGGAAGGCAGAGGGATGGGGGCAGCGGGATAAGGAGGGGGGCATGGGCAGGGGCCAGACTGCCAGGATCCTTCTGTATCAAGTAAGGAGCATGAAAGTCCTACTGATGGTAGCTGTCTGAGCAGGTGAGGATCGACCACATTGACCTTTCAGAAGCAGCCTTCCAGTGCAGGGGGCGGAAATGGGACGGGGGGCCAGAAAGGACAAGGCACACTCAGCCAGGTGAGGATGCTGAGCTGAGTGGGCGGCTGTGCAGATGGAAGGAGGTAATGGATAAGAGATTTCTTTATTTGCCTCAGGCCCTTTAAAAAGGCTTTAAAATGTCCTTAGAGGACAGTCACTTGATACCAAGCATAATCTCCACCAGTCTGTCCTGCACTGCATTCACCAGATCAAAGGCCCCCTCCAGGCACCGCTGATCACTTGCATCTGTCTCATGCCTCAGCACCTAATCTCAGCTCCAAAGTCCCTGGTGAGAGGTTCCAAGGACAAGTTCTCCTCAAGGTCACCTTGCAGGACACCTTTCCACAGCCCTCATGTGGTCCTGTGCTTGCTCTGCCAAAGAGATTACGCCCTATCACACTCGCTTGCATGCACACCCCCTCACCCTGTATCGGCTCTGTGGCCTTTGAGCCCTGAGCTCTGAGAGTTAAACACCACAGAGCCACGGAGCTCAGAATCATGCACAGAACTCCCTGGGGAGAAACACACCCCCAGAATAGAATTCCAGAAGCCAAGAACTTGCTGAAGGTGATTCCACTTAACACAGTCAGCCCTTGGGGAATCTAATGACCCCTGGGGCTTGTTTGGGGATTGCTGCTTATAATAAATCAGTCCAGGGGCGCTTCGATTTCTCCTTCCAAAGAGAGCTAGAAAATGGCCCATGGAAAGTGAGAGAGACGATGCAGAACTTCTGACTTAAAATGGAAGTCCATCTCTTTCCGGGTCCTCAGCCTCCAGCACCCTCCCCTTTGCCTCCAGCCCGCCCCCAGCCCACCCTCCATACCCTTCGCAGGTGACTTCCGACATTCTGGATCATTGCGGCCAGCAGTCCCCGCTAGCTGTGTCGGCAAGCCTGTGGGAAGCAGCACCCTCCCAGACACAGACTCTGGTCACCTGAGCAACGGCCAGGCTCAGGCTCTAAATGAAGCCTGCGGCCCCTCCCCCATCCTCCTCCCCCGAGCTCCCGCCCCTCCTGAGCCCGCTGTTACCACCCCGTGTTCCAGCCTCTCCTCCAACTGCCCTCTGCCCCCCTTCTCCGAGAGCCCCCGCACAGAAGGCTCCTGTGCCTGCCTGGTGGAGAGGAAGGACAGAGGCTGCCAGCTGGGCCACAGCCACATCAGGGGACCCCATGCTCAACCACTGGGCACCCGTCCCCAGCCAAACTTTAGTCACCCCCCTTCCAGGCCCCATCATCCTCCCCACAGGGTCTCTTGGCTCTGGGATCACTCCCAGGGGCCGGGAAGGGGCGGTGACTTCTGGCAGCTCCCTGGCCCCAGCCCATCAGGCACCAGGTTTCCATCCGTCCACAAGGGGTCAGGCTGGAAAGTGGCAGGAGGCCAGGGAGCTGCCAGAAGTCTCCCAGAGGGACACTAGCCCCACCTGCTAGGACTCTTCACCCTTGAGAGTGCCTCCGCCTGCTCCACCACTCCAGGCACTTCCTTAAAATAGGCAGTGTGACTCTTCCCCAAGCAGCACCTGTCAAATTCCACCCTGATGGCCACGCAGGGTTCAGCCCCCTGGGGCACCCACTCCAGCCCCTCTGTAGCCACCACTGACTGAGAGACCACCAGGATTTTCCTTTCTCCCACTCACTTCTGCAAGAGGCGTGACAAAGAGGCCCTGACACTCACGTTGGACTTAATGACAGGAGAATGAAGTGCTTGGTGGTTAAGGGAAGAAGGGCGAGGAGTGCTGGGATGGTCAGGTGGATGGGGAATTACAAGCACCCCATAATAACCAAGCACCTGCTGTGTGCCAGGCCTCATGCTGGTCCTCATCCCAACCCCACTGGGAAGGTTCGTGTGGGAGGGAAGGTGGTGTGCCCCAGGTGAGTGAGTGCAGAGCCATGCTAGAACACATCAGCCCCATCCTGAGGCCTCTGCCCTTTCCTCTGTCCCGCATTGCCTCTAATTCATCCACCACAAATGTAACAATGTCTTCTCTGGGCACGTCCTGCCTAACACAGCTGGGTACTGGGCCTGGTTCTTTCACTAATGATCCATGTGACTCTGAGGAAGTTCCCTTCTCTCTCTGGGCCTCCCAGCTTTAGGAGTCAAGGACTCTAATGTCTATCCCTGTGAGCTCAGGCCTTGCCCTCAAAGAGCTTGTCATATGTCAGCAGTTCTGTGTCCACAAATGAGAAATTAAAGTCACACCTTAAAAACTGCAAGACGGCCCATGGACAGCACTGAGGACTGGAGCGACCCGGGGGGGCATCCTGGAGGAGGCAATGCTAGAGCTGGCCTTAAGACTGAATGGGTTTGGATAAGCTGAGAAGAGGGGTGAGGTGGAAGGCCTACCAGGAACAGACAGGATGCAGTCAGAGTTTGTAAGGAGCCTCATCTTGCAGGAAAGCTGGGAACGTGTCATGGAGGGCCTCGAATGTCTGGCAACAGGGTTTAGGCATCAAGGAGCCTCTAAGAATGATGAACATGCTCAGCATAATGAAAGCCATGCGAGGTGAACAGGACGGGTGTCCTGAGACCTCCCTGCACTGGTAAGGAAACCAGCTCAAAGAGGGGACAGATCATCTTCCTGGATCCCTGAGCTAACTTGACAGGGAGCCAGGGCAATTTCAGGGTCCTCACTATGCAGATGAGGGAATGGAAACCCAGAGTGCTTCTGGCCCCCCCAACCCAACCCTTTCTCCAGAGGACCATAATGTCTCAGACTCTCTGGATTATACATGAATAAAGTGAGGCCCAGGGATGGAAAGTGAGCTACCCGAAGACATACAGTGAGGAAGCTGTCAGGAATCACCACTGCTGACCTCAAGTCCAGAGCTCTGCCCACCCCACCCCACAATAAGCCATAAAATGAGAGAGGCTTCAGTTAGACTTAAGAGAGCATGTCAAGCAAGGCTGAATCAATCTTACTGTCAGGAACAAGCAACAGAGGGCTAGATCTTTCTGCAGAGGCCTCTCCAGCCCACAAGGTCTCTCTGCTCTCTGTGCTACTTTCCTTTTTTGGGGGGAGAGGGGAGCAGCTGGCCAGTATGGGGATCTGAACCCTTGACCTTGATGTCATAACACCGTACTCTAACCAATTGAGCTAACCAGCCAGCCCTCCCTGTGCTATTCATTACAAAACTGACTCCTGTGTTGTCTCAGCAGCTATGTATGGTCTGTTACTCCAATGACTATTTCCAGGGGTGTCTTCCTCCCCGTTCCAACTCATCGGGGAGTCCCCTGAGGGTTGGAACCATATCTTACTCATCTCTGTGCCCCCTCCCCATTAGCTCCCAGACCAGGCCCCTAAATGCAAGAGGCATGAAACACAAGTGGATGAATCATAGTCCTGGAACAGTGGATCAAGAAGAGGTCTTAAGTGATAGCTAGGTATGGTTCTCAAACCTCAACCTATATCAGAATCACCGGAAGGCCAGCAGCACAGGGCGTGCCTGGGGATCCGAGGCATGGAGGCAGGGACCGGACCCCCCTCCCACAACCAGACATACTGCACCAGTGCCTCAGGGCCCGCCCAAGGACCAGAGGCATGGAGCAGGGGACCGGACACTCCCCACAACCAGGCACACTGCCAGCACAAAGGAGCATGCCAAGAACATCACCTCCATGTGGGTGGCCCCCCACAGCCACCACAATAACCATGGATACCACAAAAGCAGCTAGATGCCACAACCACCACACAGACGGTCCACCAGCCACTGGAGTGCATTGACACAAGGAGAGTCACCAGCAGAGATAAAGAAAAGAAGAGGATGTCTCTCTTCACAAAGCCCATTTCAGAGTGAAGCATCTGCTCTATGATAATATTGGGGGACCTGATCACACCTCTCAGCATTGGACAGATCATCTAGGCAACAAATCAACAGAGTAACCATTATTCTTTCAGAAGGAGAGAAGAAACCTAGAGGGGGGGAAGGGAGAGAGAGGAGGGGATGGAGAGAGATTGGATAAGAGGCATAAAGAATAATTAGGATTTGTAACAATATATATGCTGGTAATATTGATTTGATCAACATATCTCATTGTTGAACCCCAAAAAAATGTATAATCAATTTTGAGCCAATAAAATTTTTTTTTCAAAAAAAACCTATTATAGGATTGTTGTGATAACTACATAAAATAATACATGTAAAACAACACAGTATCTGGCACATTTTTGTTTATAAATTACACAGGAGCTCAACAATGGTAGCTGTTATTATTACTTGTAAGATTAAATATCTAATTGACAGATTAAAAATAAAATAGAATCACCTGAAGGGCTTGTTAAAATACAGATTGCTGACCCCATCCCCAGAGTTTTTGATTTAGTAGAGCTGAAGTAGGGTCCAAGAATTTGCATTTCTAACAAGATCCCAAGTGATACTGATGCTGCTGGTTCAGGACCACACTTTGAGAACCAGTGAGCTAGGTCAGCCCTCCCATTTCACAGCTGGGGACAATGAGGCCCAGAGATCTTAAAGGCAGCACTTGACAGTATATCACTATCATCATCATCATTGTCACTGGCACTATAACCCTATCATTATAGCCCTCCTCACATGCCTGGCACTATGCAAGCACTTCATGTACGTTACCACCTTTGGGCCTCACCCCAAAAGGAAGATACTATGATTATTATTCTCTTGCAGAGGAAAAATGGAGGTAGAGTATTAAGTCATTTGTCCAAAGTCACACAGTTTATAAGGATCACCAGGATTTGAACCCTCATCCAAGGCCCAAGCCCACAAGTTTAACTACCACTGTCCACAACCTTACAGCCTATGGTGACTAGCCAAAAAATTCTCTGGAAGCTCCCTAATCCAGCAGGCTAATTTCTAATGTGGGATGATGTGGCACCATCAGCCTAAAGGCCCCATCCTTTTTTTTTTTTAAGATGACCGGTAAGGGGATCCCAACCCTTGACTTGGTGTTGTCAGCACCACACTCTCCCAAGTGAGCCACAGGCTGGCCCTAAAGGCCCCATCCTTGAGTGGAGAAATGAGAGTGTCTAGAGAAAGCCTGTCTCTGAGCCCTGAGAACCCAGAGTGTTTTCTCCTGCAAGGACTCCTTTCTCCACATGACAACCTTCTTCATCAACCCTACCCATCGGGCCTTCCTGGCTGGAGGACAAACATCCGCATTAATTCTTCTGGTCCATGCCCCAGCTCTACCTCCCCACTCAGTGATGAAACACAATGAAATAGTCTCCATTTATTTTCAACGGTGGTACTGGGTTGTCACTGTCAGGCATGTGTCTGTCTCCCCCCTCAGACTGGGAGCTCACAAGAGCAGGGGCCTCACCTCTATCATGTGAGTCCCCAGCACGGGGCCTGCCCACAGCAAGGGTTTAGTGACTAAGTGATGAATGAATGAATGAATGGAGTGACTGCAGGGACAAATGAGGAAATGAATGAGTGAATAAATAACTAAACTCCCAGGAATTCCCTCTCCTGGGACTTTTTTTCTCAGATAGGACCACAGACTGTCTGGGCAGGAGGGGACCTCTGCTATCACCTACTCCAACTTCCACTCTCAGCACTGTCCTGGCTGAACCCCTCCATGGGCCAGAACCTACAGCTCCACACACACACACACCTTTAGTATCTCAGCCTCCACTCACATACCTCCAGGACAGAAGAGCTCCCTCCATCCAAGCCGGCCTGTACAATTAAAGAGTTCTAATAGCCAGAGGGTCTGGCCATCACTTCATGACCATGGTTCTGGGTCCCCCAGAACAAGGCTGCTCCCCTGGCCCATAACAGCTGGCAAAGATGTGGGAACACATGTCCTGTCCTCTACTCAGCCCTGGCCTCCCTGTCCAGACTTCTTTCTTCCAATCTTCTCATGCCATGAACAGAACTTCCCACTCTT